ACCTTCGCCGATTTGCTATGCTCTATCGTTTAAGGTTTACGATTTGATGAAAAAAATCCCTTATCTAGGTGTTTCAATCGTTGATGTTTTCCGCTGGTGACGCCTACGATCTGTGGTGGACAGGACAAGAGTTCAAGGACATGCGAGTAGAGGCTTGTGCACAGATGCTTGAACACGATCCAAAGGTAAGAACTTACGGGGATATTTTTTTCAATAGCGAGAAGAAAGGAAAAAGAAGTCATTAGTAAATAGGCATGATGGCATGGACAAGATTTCTTTGGAGTAGCTGATCTTTCTCTATTGGACTTTATTGAACTGTATCAAAGTCCGTTCTCCCAAGAGTTGTTTTCAGGGATGCGCTGCGAAAATCTAGAGATCATGTAGACAGGAAAGTAGTTCAAGCAGCAGCCCGAGATGAGGTTGTGTCAAAGAATCTATTCCGTGGTTGGGTTAGAGTATCCCATTACCATTGTCGCGGCTTGAAAATGCTCGAAAATGGCGCTAGGGCCTTACTAGAGGTCAGACTGCAGCTAATGTGACTCACGGACGAGATGCCTCGCGCACTCCCCTTGATTCGCAATTACGGCGTTGGGGCTGATCCAGACTCGCGCGGCTGAGTGGCAGCCGTGAAGCAGGCAAGTTCGGAAGACTCGTCCGCCCCGCCCCTTCCTTATTTCCAAGGCGGAGGAGAGGGAATACTTGTTAATGGCTTCATCGACGGCTCGCTTTGGTTCTTTTTTCATTTGTAGTCAGTCAGGCATCTACAATTTCATAATCGTCCGCTGTTACCCCACCAAATTGAACAGGATGAAATCAGCGGGGTACCAGCGGTTGATAATGAAATTGTGGATGCCAAGTTGAAATGAAAGCGAAAAGCGAAGGTAACCGCCGATAAAGACTCATTTTCTTTCCCTTGAAATGAGGGAGAGCGTGTCGGACGAGTTGCCTGGACTTGTCTGCTACCATTAAGCTCTACACCTTAATCCATGTTGCGTATCATGGGGTGGTGTGAAGTATCTCGTCCGTTGGCTCACATTAGCCGTCATTAGCTCACTTGGTGAGGCACTAGCGCCATTGTCGCGCACTTTTGCCTGCGAGAGTCATAGGTGAACCGCGAAAGCGCACACCTGTGTGTAGGCTACCCTTCAGAATAGATTGTTCGACACAACCTCATTTGGAGTTGTAGCTTTGTCATTTCTAAACCCAAGCTTTTTGAATCGGTTGAGCAAGAGACCATTCAATGTAGGAGCAGTTGTCCATTGAAAGACGAAAATACAAAATTCTAAGGCGAATAGTACCCTTGTTTTTAGATA